GGGGAGCGACTCCGCTCCGCCGCCATCTTTAATAACTTAGGCTAATTCGTAGCCGGCCTCCCCTCCCTCCTCGGCGCATTTGCCTAATCTATGCGTTGCCCCGCCCTGCCCCTCATTGGATAATTTATGCGAAACTTCTCCAGCCGCGTAAAGCGCGACACGTATCTCTAGCTAAGAAACAATCGACCAGGCCTCTTAGCCACCAATCACTGAAGCCCTTTCAAGTACCTGATGAATAATTAATGAGGCCCAAACCCCAACAACAAATGTCTGAGACGTCACGCGCCTGGATCGCAGCTCGGGAGGGGGCAGCGCCGCGTCCACGCTACCTGCCTGGAGCCTTCCAGCCAACGGGAGTGGGCAGAGTATGACTGACACAGCAGCCATCCAATAAATGGGGGAACACACGCAACGTTTACCCTCACCGCCCCTCACTTCCCCCTTTCCCATAGGCGGTGCTCAGTTTCCAAATCTCAGGGCAAAACAGTCGGCGCGGAGAGCCTCGCGATGATGGACAGGGGCAAGGCCCAATCTAGTCACCGGATAGGTCCCGCGCCTCGGGCCACCGCCCACCGAGATAGTAAACTGCACAAGGCGCCTCCCTCCTCTCAACTCAATGACTCCGGGCAATCCCTGCAAGACCGAAATCCGACGTGCTGGCAACCTCCAGGCAATTTTAATAGTAGGATCGATGCCTGGAATACTATAGCAGCAGAGCGAGGCAATTAATTAAACGCTGACCATAGGGAGAATTCTCCATTCACTGCCTCTGCGGAGAGAGCAATTACGGAAACAAAAAGAGGCAACCAGCTAAAATACAAGCCAAAACTACCTCACCGCATTTGTGAACTGTGAAGCCAAGATCTAGGGTCTGTAAGGGTAGTTTCCAATGGATGATTCCTAAAGAGTAGAAGCGGTTGTGGATAAGCCCCAATCCAAAATACTATCAGCACAAGTTTTAAGTATCTTTCCCGGTTTCAAACGTTTGAAAAGCTTGATAAAATTAGAGATTAGCCAAAACTCGCATATCTGGCCTTGGCCACTCGTCCCAGACAGCAATCAAGAAAGAGCAGCCACTGAGACAGTAACCTATCCAAGATCCAGGGTTTGGAACACAAGATTTAGTAAGAGTCGGGGTTCAAAATGCCGTCAGTTTTAAGGATCCACCTGATAAAAAAAAAAAGAGGCAACTTCCACTTGCTCCTGTTTTCAACTAAAATCAAGCCTTTTTTCTTAAAAAACAAAATGTTTTTAACATTTATTTTTGAGACATAGAGACAGAGCATGAGCGGGGTAGGGACCGAGAGAGGGAGACACAGAATCCAAAGGAGGCTCCAGTCTGAGCTGTCCGCACAGAGCCCGACAGAGGGCTCCAACTCATGGACCGTGAGATCATGACCCCAGCCGAAGTCTGACGCTTAACCAACTGAGCCACCCAGACTGCCCCCCCCTTTTTTTTACAATCAAGTCTTATGTGCACAAACAGCTGGGAATCTGGAACCAGAAGTCATCCAACTCCAAAGGTCTTGATAACAGCTCTTCAAATGCGTTTTTTCTTTTCTTGTTCTGGCTACATTGCTCACAACTATCCTACCTATTACTCTATGAGGTAGTTAAAAACGTTAAAATCTTGATTTGGCCGAAAAGCCAAATATCAAGCATTAGTAATCTAGAATAATAATTGGGATTTAGCATCTTACCAACTGGCTCTTCCATAAAGAATTCAAGTTCAGAATGTGCTGACATCTATCGGTACACTAAAACACATGTCCTCCTCACTATAGTGCTTGCCCAGAAAAAATATTCTCAAGAGAAGGTGCTTCTTTACTTGAATAGAGAAATCTACAACTACTTTTGGGGAAGGGAATTCCCTACCCATTTTTACATCCTCTTTCTGAAGACAGGGTAGAACCTAGGTTCAATCCTGGGTCCACTACTTAGCTGTGTGACCTCCAACAAGTTAATTAACCTCTCTGAGCCTGAGCTGTCTTCTCTTAAAAAAAAAAAAATGAAGCAGCTACCTCAAGGCACAGTTAGCAGAAAATAAATTAGCACATGGGAAGCACTTAGAACAGTGCTTGCAAGCCTCCATTAACTAACCTTATGAAAACAGAACTGCAACTCTTAGGTGGTTGACAAATTACAAAAAATTAAGATAATTTAAAAGTTGTCTGGATTAGAGTAGGACTCCCAACCACGTGGTAAGCACGCAAGCTTGTGTTAAAGTAGGAACTGTGGTGAATGTAATGGTGTCACTGTTGTAGCAGGGCTAAAGAAAGAAACAAATTGGTGTGCCTGGGTGGCTCAGTTGGTTAAGTGTCCCCACTTGGGCTCAGGTTATGGCCTCCCGGTTCGGGAGATGGAGCCCTACATCTGGCTTTGCACTGACAGCAAGAAGCCTGCTTGGGATTCTCTCTCTCTCTCTCTCTCAAAATAAATAAGCCTTAAAATAAATATACATTTAAAAATCTTTTTAAAAAATGAAATGGATTGCATGATTTTTTATTGTTTTTCCAATTCCCTGAACTAAAATCCCGAAGAAGGGCAACTAGGGTGGATGACGCCTTCCACATGACCTAGAAGTTAGGTAAGGGGGGAAAAGTTCACGCAAGACAGGGAGTTTACCTGCTTGACACACAAAACACCTTGCGAAAACCCAGATTGGATTCTGTGTCAACCCCCGAAAGATGGGGGGGGGGCGGGAAGGGGGGGGAAGGGAGCGAGGGTGAGAGGACAGTGGTCTCAGTGTATTGCACCGAAATTCGACACCAAGGCACTGCAATCGGACTCTGTTTCACTTGAAACGTGACTCCGGGCGAGGCACTTACCCTCAGCGCTCCCAAGGAAGTGGGGGGCGGCGGGCCCACTAACCAAGACAATTTACGCCCGGCCGCATCAGTAAGGTTCTTTGAAATCACCTGGTGAACAGCGCGCTAGACAAACATAGAACGGTCAACGCAGGAGGAGCTAGTCCAGGTTCTCGAAAGCACTCCGCTCGAGAAGCCTGGCCCAGAGAGGGGAAAGGGCGGGGAGAGCCGCAAAGTGCAGCCGCAGGCCGGGTCGCCGCCCCGGAACGTCGCCGACGCCAGGGGAGGGGTGGGGAGCGGCGGGCGTCGAGGCGAGACTCCGGCAGGCCGCCCCGCCCTACCCAGCCCGGGAACCAGGAGCCGCGCACCAGCTCTAGTGGCGGCAGCCACCGCACCCCCTGGCCCTACTGTCCCTAGGCCGCCCCACGCTGCCCACACCCACTCGGCCGACCCGTGGCAGCCGGGGCCTTGGAGCCGGCGCCGCCTGACGACTGGCTGACGTCATAGGTGACGCCGCGGCGGGCGGGAGCGGGGACGGCGCAGGAGGGCGTTTCCGGAGCACGCGCCCGGCGAGGGCTGCTGACGTCTGGCTCAGGTGCGCGCGCTTGCCCGCCGCCCGAGCGCGGCCCAGGTGGCGGCCCGCAGCGTCAGGTGGCGGCCAGTAGCGGTGAGGGGGCGACGGGCGGTGCGAGTAGGGGCAGCGGCGGGAGGGCGTGTCGCCTTGCACTCACGTGACGGGCGGGGAGGTTGGGGTGTGGGCGGCGAAGCGGGGTGGGCCCGACCCCACCCCTCGCGGGCCTGCCGGTCGCTGCGCAGGACCTTCCCTCGGGCTGGGGTCGGACCCGCCCCGCCGCTTAGCCCGCCAGCCTGGTTCTGCGAGGCTGCCCGCCCGACCGCCGGAGCTGACCGGAGTTGTCTCCTCCGCAGGGCCGCGGCGAGAGGGTGAGAGTCCGCGGGTTCGGAGGGAGCCGCCCCCGCCTCGGCCCGCGCCCTGCGGGGCCCCACCGCACCCGAGGGGATGGAGAGCCGCCTACGAGGCCCCAGCACCGCCCGCGATCCCACGCTGGCCTGCCCTCGCTAGCTGCTCGAATTTTGCGTTTTACCCACCACCTAGGCCTTGTCTCCTGAGTCGGTGGCGTTGCGGTTCGAAAGAAATGGAAGAAAAGGAGCGATGTGACCAATTCCGTTCGGTCCTCCTGCATTGAGGCCTGGTTGGCATTTGCAGAGAGGAAAATACAGCAAGAAAATCGTCGGGGGTGTTTGGAGGGGAGGGTGGGAGGAGGGAAGCAAGGTCTTAGATTTCCTATGATTTTTGAAAAAATTCTGCACTTTGACAGCGGTGGCGAAATAACACTAAATCCAAAAGTGATCTTCCTATTGGAAAGAGAAGAGGTGGATTTTCTTTTCCTTTTGATTCCAACCTCTTCTCCCCGTGACCAAGCATAAATCATGGACATCAGAAAATAAGGTGGACCTCAGGAATCCTGGAAAGACTGAGAAGCTTACTTACATTCTTCCTCTGGAGGGAAGAAGGGTGGGGTGTTTTCAGCCCTCTCTGGAGCCTAAAACGAAAACATGAGTTGCGTGCCATGGAAAGGAGACAAGGCCAAATCTGAATCTGTAGAGCTGCCCCAGGCAGCACCCCCACAAATCTACCATGAGAAACAGCGCAGGGAGCTTTGTGCCCTGCATGCCCTCAATAACGTCTTCCAGGACAGCAACGCCTTCACCCGGGAAACGCTGCAAGAGATTTTCCAGAGGTAGGGGACTCCTTCTCCTTGCCATTTTTACACTTTTTGCTATTTCTGCATTTCTGTGGGTGGGGCAGTGTCTCCGCTAGGTAAGCCTTCAAACCAACATATTAATTAGCTAGATGCTGTTAGCAGATGTAAGGGACACAGAAGTGGGAAAAATAATAATCACTATCATTTATTGAGCACCTACTGTAGGCTGGGCATAGTGCTAGGACCCTCTGTTGTGTCATCTCGTGCGATGTCCTCAGCAATCCCATGCAATTTGTGTTATTTCCATTTTATGGGTACAAACAGGGCTCAGAGGAGTTCAGTAATTTGCCTTAGGTAGCAACAACAGATGGGGCCAAGTTTGAATTCAGGTTAGTGTCTGTGCTGTTGACCACTGTGCTATAATGCCTCTCAAGCCCTGGTCTGAGAGTTTACAGTCTGGAAAGGGGACAAGATCTGTACACGCTCAGTCACCTGCCATCAGAGGTGGAATGTTGTGGGTTTTATAAGCAGGGTGCCCAGTTTTCCCATGAGGCCATGTGCTGGCCTTGGTGCTTTTTGTGCATTGCTTTGTGTACACCTCCCCAGCAGTCATTTTACTGTCTATTTTATGGATAGAGAAACAGGCAGAAAGGTCAGGTAATTTGTTCAAATAGCTTCCAAGTAGCAAAGCTGTGCTTTGAAATGGACTCTAGATCTCTTCCCCTTTCCGCTTCATTCTAGATGGCCTTTTTTTTTTTTTTTTTTTTTTTTTTTTTTTTTTTTTTTTTTTTTTTTACCCACTTTGCAACATGTTACCTGACAGGGTGATAGAAATTCAGCTCTTTCTCTGTCTCCTTTGATGTTCTAAAATTGTTTGTATCAAAAGGGTTTGAGAATTAGTTCTGCAGTGTCTGGATGGACACAGCAGGACATCTGCTCTGCTGCTTTCTGAGTCCTGGAAAGGCGTGTCCGCGTAGTTCTATCATCTGCATCCATTCACCCTGCTAGTATGTTGGGCCTGGGCCCAAAGATATGGATGATGATTATAAGCAGTTTGCAGGTAATTGCAGGACTCTTTCAGTTGTGTTTTCCCTGAATGAAAGAATGCGAAATATTTGCTAAACACTCACATGGAACCAGAGTTCTGTTCCTGGCTATTAAAGCTTTTGCAAATTTGTACCAGCCTCCCCAGTTTCCTGTCAGCACAATGTAAGGATCCATCTCAAAGTAATAGCAAACCAGTACGTAAGAAAATACACTCTGTTCCCACTCCAGAGGTGGAATTCTGTGTATTTTAGGTGGAAAGATTTGGTGTGGGTAAATGGAAACAAAGTGTGAAAGGGATCAGAGGGAGGGGAGATGAGATGAGGGAGAGGCAATAGAATTGTATAAACAAGGATTTACGAGCTGCCTGCAGCCAGCCAAGCGCTGCTGGGCACTGTAGAGAAAACAAGTTGAACAGGACTCAGCCGCTAAGTACATCCCAGAGCCATACACTGACCAGGCCTTGAGAACAGACTCAAATGAAGTTAAAACCCGAGGGATTTAGAGCCGTTTAAACGGAGGGGAAGAGGATCTGTTTGGGTCTTAACGGAAACAGTAGTAATGTTGGCAGGTTTAACCAGAAAATTTCAAATTCCCGGATACAAAGTTCTGTCCCTGTTTGAAGATGTGGCTGATGGCTGGGAGAAATGGGAGAAAAATTTTGATGAATGCTGTTTGTTGAGAGGAAGTTCATCGCAGCAGTTCGCTTTTAGCCAGATAAAAAAAGAAATACAAAGGCAGGGTGGAGTTTCAGTACAGTTATGGGACTTGAGATGACTCATGTTTGGAATAGAAATGAGCAGGGACTTAGAACTAAAGCTAGTGGCTCAGCAGGAACCTGGGGATGAGGAAGAGAGGAATCAAGGTGGCAGAGCCCAGGATTTGAAGATCGTGGTAACCACCGCAGTGATGGCAAAAGAGGTCGTTGCTTTGAAAAGGATCAGTTTTCAACATGTGAAATTGGAGAAAAGCTCAGAAACTGGGCAGGTGACGTGGTGCATGTATTCAGATGTGGATGTCTGATCCTGAATATTTCATCGTATGTGTTCCTCTGCGTTGAAAAAGGAAACATTGGGAAGTGAAATGATAGAGCGGCAGCCTTGCAGAGTTACTTGGAAAATCCTCAGGCCTCGAACCATCCTCACGAGACTCTGCTCAATTTTTCAGTGATTAAATGTTCTTGCAGCTAGCTATGCATCCCTTCCCCAGGTGAAATAGCTGTTAAAATCTAAATAGAAACCAGGCTGATACCACTCAAAAAATCTAATGCAAGCTGGAAGGGACAAAGAGATTTTAGATATTGGTGAACAGCCAGCGTTTTCTACCACAAAGAAATCCAGCCTCCCCAGTAAAATGTCCCTTAGCAGGTGGAAGGGGCCACATTTAAAGGTGTGGTGGTGGTAAATTCAGAAATGGCGTTGAATGTTAGCCTGCAGAGATTGAAATTATCTTGTCTAAGGGCCAGGTAAACACATCATCATCGCCAGTACCTGCAGAGTACATCTATGTGCCTGGCCTTGTGATCTGTGCTTTATGTATTTAATGATTTAGAGACACATCGTGAAGTTCTTCTGAGCCCTATTTTCTAATGGCACATTTCTTCAGACCTGATAAAAAGGAAAGTCATAATTAGGAGAGAAAGGAATCTTCATGAATGTTTGCACATCTTTTTGTTGTTGTTGTTGTTGTTAAAATCAGAACTCACCACCATAGCCAGACACAGTGGTAACCTCCAGGGAGGACCAGGAACTCAGCTGAGGGCCTAGGCATTAGTGAGACCTGGCAAGAGCCTGTCTTCTCACTTACAGATCACTTCAGATCTCATGGCTCTAACCTGTGGCTGTGACGACAGAAGTGAGAGGCTTGCTTTATAGTCCAGAACTTCTGTCCGAGTCATTAAGGCCGTCCTGAGCAAGAGTTTGCCAAGGAGTCTCCAGAAAACAATCACAGAACAGGATGCCAGGGAGTTCAGTGGGACCAGTGTGTTGAACTATCCAGGACGCTGCTGAGCGTAGTCTTAGGGGAAGGGGTTGGATCTTAGCTGTACCACTCACCAGCTGTATATGTGATCATGCAGATCACCGTAAGCATCCTTATTCACACTGTGAGATTAACCTCTCAGGACTATTGGAAGGATTAAGAGGGAAACCTCATAAGAGTAGCTGACGCAGTGGGCATTTGATTATCGTTAAAGTAAAAACAAGTACTGATATAATGGGCACACTGGACGGACCCCGCGTATTCAAATGACCATCCTGGGAATGAGGTGGAAGCCATTCTCAGCATTTCCTGTATTGATCATCTGGGTGACACACGTTTACTCAGTTGCCACTGCTTAGCTGTGAGGGCTGCAGAGTAGCAGAGCCATCCCCTTTGCTTCAGGAATTTGCTGTTTGGTTGGACATGTATAAGACAACGGAATTCTCTAATGGTCTTGTAAAATGGGAATTGTTCCCATTGTTACAGATACACTAAGAGGCATGGAGATTAAATCTCACGACTAGTCCCGGTGCTGGTTGCTAGGATAATGTGTAGTCCTCCCCATCTCCCTGTGTTTTCTGCTACACAGGAGCCAGGAAAGATTCCGTGGCAAAGGTAGGATGTGAGGTTGACCTTGAAGAAGCTTTAGGATTTGGTTTGGAACAGGAAATATGATGAGAGAATAGAGGCCGTGTGGCCGTGGTGTTTGAAGTGCACTAAACCCAAAGGAACAGCAGGCCCCGTAGGGCCGGGAGGGTTGGAGTTAGCCAGCGGGCAGTTCTTACATGAAAGTGAGAACATCGTACCTTGGTGAATGTGGTAGGAACATATAAGGGACTTGGTGGAAGGAGAGTTTGGAAGTGAGATCAGTTTAGGAACCTGTTTCAAAAGCCCAGATATGGAGCAAGGAGGCTCCAGTTCAGGGAGAGACAATGGGAATAGACAGGAGAAGGTTGGAATCGGAGATAGAATGTATGGGACAAGGAGACCCTAGGAAACTCCTGTAAGGTGCACCTCAAAAAAACGTGTGGTCAAATATGTTTGGGAACCGCAATGTACCCTGTCTCCTCAAGACGCAAGGTAAATATTAGCGTATTCGGGGCTCTAGGAATTCCTGCAGGAAACCTTTTTACCTGATTCATTCAGCCGTTATTGTATTGAACACCTTCTGTGATCCTCTGGGAGCACCCTCGGGAAAGCGTGGCTGTAAGTTTTGGTGGGGAGTAAAATGGTGAACGAGGTAGAAGACCTGGAAGTTTCCTTGTTGGAGCCTTCACGCATCTCCTGGCAAGAGACTTCACTGAAAGTAGGGAGAAGCTACTGGAAAATCGGTGGAAGGGTAGGAGCTTGATATACCTGGAGCTAGGCTTGCTTCCATATGCTTTTTTATTTTAATGTGAGAGCCTGCTGAGGGCCTTTGTCCTTTTAAGCTGCATTTTAGCCCCAGACCCCAGGGTGTGCCAGCTCTTCCTCTTATCAGCCGGCTACCACCACCCACTCTGATTCTTGGCTCCTCGACACAAGACGGGAAGCACAGCACCGGAGTCAGACAAACCCAAGCACGAACGAATCCTAGTGCTGTCACTTACAAGATCAGCGATTACAGCCCAGTCATTTTAAATCACCAAACTTCAGTTTTTTAACCTATAAAATGGGAATAACTTACAGCCTCATGGGTTTCTGGTGAAAATTAAGTGAGATACACATGAAAGGATCTAGCATTGGACGGCATGGCACGAAATTTTTCAATAAGTAGTAGTTATTATGATGGTAAGATGCAATCTGGTTGCAGAGTGAAGGTTAGTGTCCTCCAGCCCTCTTCTTTGCTCGCTCTGGAGAACAAGCACACAAGCTCTTTGGAAGGGTCTGCTACGAAAGTTTCCCAAGAAAGAGAGCAACAAGATAAACACGGTGAATGTTTCAATAAACATTCCTTGAGCACCTGTTATGTGCCAGGCACCCCTTGGGTCCTGGTGGGGTAGCCCTAACGGGATGGAGAAACCTGTCATTCTAGTGTGGAAAACCAGACGGGTCTGGTCGCGACAGGGGCTGTGATTAAAGCAGGTGGGGTAAGAGCTGGTGCCTGGAAGAAACTGAAGGTTGGGGTGGTCAGAAAAGGCCTCTAAGGCACTAACACTTGAGACCCAAATAATAAGGAGCAAACCAAGTGCAGACCTAGGGAAAGAGCATTCCAGACAGCAGAACAGTGAGTGTGGTAGAAACAGGGAGCACGTGCAACGGCCCTCGGGTGAGAAGGTGTTTTGTGTGTTTAAGTAGCAGAGAGAAGGTCTTTGTGCCCAGCGATAGGGATGAGGTCAGCAGTGTCTTGAGGGCCTCGCCTAGAAAGCAAATTATTTAGATTGTATTTAAGTGCTTTGGGAACCATTGGAAGGTTTAAGCAGTGGGAGGAATGTTTTATGTTTGAAAAATATCAGTGTGGTCACCGTGTACAGAGAAGTTTTAAAAAAAAAAAACTCTGTAAGAGTTCTTGAGTGTTCAGAGTTGCCCTCGAGCCCTGGTTCTCTGGAGCTGGCCCTTCCTTAGCAGCCTCCTGGATACTGCCCTCCACGTTTGTTCCCAAGAAGCTCACACTTCCCTTCACAGCCAGGCAAAAGGAATCCAGCCCTTCCTTCAAGAAGGCCTTTCCTCAAGTCCCGGTCTGACAAGCTTGTGAAAACCAAATAATAGGACTGGAAGTGCCTTCGGAGCTGACCTTGCTGGAGACAAAGGAGTAGCTGATGAGGCCCAGCCAAAAATGGCCCAGAGCGGGGTGGGCGCATGGACCATAATTGAGTTTTGTTTGGCACAGACATTGTTTCCAGTTGATTCTTTGTGTTTCAGTTTTTAAAAACTTTTTTATTCCAGAGGCGCCTGGGTGGCTCAGTCGGTTAAGCTTCCAGCTCTTGATCTCAGCTCAGGTCATGATCTCACAGTTTAGGAGATAGAGCCCTGTGCTGGGCTCTACACTGACCGTGCAGAGCCTGCTTGGAATTCTCTCTCTCCCTCTCTCTCTCTGCCCCTCCCTTGCTTATGCCCTCTCTCTCAAAATAAATAAGCTTAAAAAAAATTTTTTTTTTTTTATTCAAGTACTTACACAACCAGACACGTATATTTGAAATGCTTTAGGTGGCTCAGACATGCCAGTTTAATACAGGCCTTATTAGTTCTTAGTGCTTTACACGTGGCCCCGGTTCATACATTTTTGTTTCATGCCTGGGCTCCTGTAGCCCTTGGAGTATTTAAGGATTAATGATTACCAAGTGTGCAAGCCTTAAATAGAAAGCATTTAAACTGTAAAAAAACAAGAGTAGCAAAAAATACTATCCACGCAAATGAAAATATCAATTACTATTTTCTAATGCTTAAAAAAAATGGCTGTATTAAAGCAGGAAGGTCTGCAGTGAAGAAGGCTGCAGACAGGGATAGGCCAGGGGCTTCACAAATGAGACTCCATCATAAGAGTACAGTCTGTGTCCAGTGACTTTCTGGATGACAGACAGCTAGGCCCTGGCACCACTGAATTAATGTTTTGCAGAAGAAGAAAGGCAATCCCTAGTGCGGTAGGAGGCCCGACTGTAAAATACGTCGGTAAAGTATTGAGTTACCTTGTACCTGAGTGGGGGGAACAGGCCTTGCGGGGGCGCGCTGCGCTGGACGCTGGAAGGTGTCCGGGGCGTGTGGGGCAGGAGGTCTGGCGGCCGTGCCCACGAGTCTCAGCCCGGCTCCTTGCACGCGTGCAGGCTGTCTCCGAACACCATGGTGACGCCCCACAAGAAGAGCATGTTAGGAAACGGGAACTACGATGTGAACGTCATCATGGCAGCACTTCAGACCAAAGGCTACGAAGCTGTCTGGTGGGACAAGCGCAGGTAACCCGAACCAGGCTTGACCCGATGAGGACTGTCACTCGGGCACGCGTGGGGAGGTGCTCCCGGGGGGACCTTGGGGCGTGGACAGCCTCGGAGCCTGACGCCGCTCTTCCTCCGCAGGGATGTCAGTGCCATTGCTCTCACTAACGTCATGGGCTTCATCATGAACCTGCCCTCCAGCCTGTGCTGGGGTCCGCTGAAGTTGCCTCTCAAAAGGCAGCACTGGATCTGTGTTCGAGAGGTGGGAGGTGCCTACTACAACCTCGACTCCAAACTGAAGATGCCCGAGTGGATTGGAGGCGAGAGCGAGCTCAGGTACCTGCCGGGAACGTGCTGGGCTCCTTCCGTTGGTGTGTTGGGGAAGTTGAGCCCGTCTTTTTTTTTTCTTTTTACTCGACGAAGGAGATGAAATTCCTAGCCCCTGGGATCCTCTCCCCGCCTTGCTTAGAATCACAGGGTCTCGGGCTTGAAACACCTAAATCTTTGATGGCCCATGAGGACGGGAAGTCCCTTTGGTAGAGAAGCCCAGCCCCCGGCATGCTGACCCTCTGGTCTGGTAGGACTGGCATTGTAGCATTCTCTGTACTCAGACAACTGATGGTAAAGCTGCCAGTTCAGAGGGAGGAAGACAGACATTCAGGCCAGAGAGGGCTAAATTTCCCAGAGACCGAAGAAGAAACTTTTATTTTATTTTAATTTTATTTTATTTTTAAATATTTTTGAGAGAGAGACAGAATGCAAGTGGGTGAGGGGCAGAGACACACACACACACACACACACACACACACACACACACACACACACACACACACAATCCGAAGAGGCTCCAGGCTCCGAGCTGTCAGCACAGAGCCTGATGCAGGGCTCAAACTCACCAGCTGCGAGAGCCAAAGTCGGATGGTCAACCGACTGAACCACCCAGGTGCCCCGATAGTTTGGCAGTTCTGTATGAGAATGAGCGAAAATTCAGCTTGGAAATTAAGTGGCCAGATCGAGGGCTAGCCAGTTGCAGAAGCTGCAAGAACAGATCCCTACTCGAGAGTTTGGGGACTGCCGAGGGTATAGCTGAGGAGGTCACCGGTGAACACATGGCCCTGAGGCTGGAATTTGCAGTTTTACCGGCATTTCATCTTCTCTTTCATCTACCCGTTGTTCCCACAGGAAATTTCTAAAACATCACTTGCGAGGAAAGAACTGTGAACTCCTGCTGGTGGTACCAGAAGAGGTGGAGGCCCATCAGAGTTGGAGGGCTGACGTGTAACGCAGTTCTACCCATCCTTCCCTCACCTCAGCCCCGAAATCGTCTGTAATGTGCTGTGGCCTATACAGCGGGTCTGCCCCTGCCACTTCCCCAAACATCTCACTGGGTTTTCCCTTCAGATTGGACAGTGCAATAGGACAGATGTGCGGACTGTTACGAGAAGCAACCAGCGTTACTCATTCCTGGGAAAGGAAGGTAGGAGCTCTGTGTGCTTAGGGCCAGCTCTGGAAGACCCTTGTTTTATTTCAGAGAGGAGAAAGGAAGGTGGGTCCCAGCTTATTTTCCCCATTCCCACGAGAACTTGACAGAGGCTCTGCTGGAGTTCACTGCTGCTGTGACTCACCTGGAGATGCTGCCTCCACTTCCCCTTTCCTGACAACCGGTGGGTCTGAAGACATAGTACACGCGAAGCCCACGCGACTGGCTTGACGGACCCAGAGCAGAAGGGCCTCTCAGGAAACCATCTCCAAAACGCCAGCAGTGGTACAGCATGCCATCTCCAACCCTTAATGCCACCCATTACCCCCATTTTTAAGGGTGGTCAACGGCCATCCTTGGAGTCTTATAATGAAAAGTTCTCTAGTGTTCCACGCCGGGTGGTCGAGGCCTGCAATATTCTAGTGTGACAGGGTGAGCTAGATACCTAAGAGGACGTGGCGGACGCCAGACTGGGGCAGGCCCGGGGGGCCTGTCCGCCTCGCTCCAGCGTTGTCCCTGCCGCTCCACTACGTTGATTTAGGGGGCTCTGGGCACAAGACAGGCAAGAGGGCAGTTTTCCCAGTTGACACACTCTGGCAAAGTCAGGAAACAACAAGTCTGCTTTTGATAGCAAATTCCACTAGTTTGAGACACAGCTGGGTGAGGAAAGTATTGTGAAGACAAGCTTCTCAGAGATTAAGAGCAGCTAGAACTGGTAGAAGTCCCAGGCTGAGTCCCTATAGTGACAAGAATCAGAGCCCTCAAGTTGGGTGTTTATGTGCATCATGTTAGAGGACCTGGATTTGTCATGTCTTTAGTTTCCTTTACATGTCAACTGAAAGTTGACCTACCCCCTACCTCTTGAAATAGTTGTAGGCCACTTTTCTCCTGTAACTTTGGAAAACAGAAGAGAAGGAGGGGAAGTGTACACATAGCGCGTCACCAAAGTGGTCGTAGTTGCCTCGAGGCGGGTGGGCGGGCGGGGATGGCCTGTCTGCCGCTTACACATCGACGGTCTTGGCAGGTCTGAGAGCTGCCCCGCTGGCCACACGCCTCTCCAGCGGCAAAGCCAGCCTGGGGCTTGCGCGTCAAGACTGAGCAGGCTTGACAGGACGAAGCTGAGGCTTTCTCCCCACTGTGACTGGAGTGCATGTTTACACCAGCACTTTTTCTGCACATGTATCTTCAATCCAACAAGGCCGTTTTTTATGCTGAGTAACAGAGGCCACCAAGCGGCTACTGCATTACACCCTCTCGGCAACTGGCTGCAGTCTCTTCTGCACCATTTTCCACACCAGACCTGCTTGGCACCACAGGGAGCTCCTTACCCCTGCACAATGACATTCCAACCACCACCAGCCAGAAGTTACAGCCAACCTGATTGTCACGAGCAGGACCTTGGGTCCATGGGCACTGTCAGTGATAGTAAGCCATTTCCTGGGAGGAGGAGGAGGGAACTCCTGTCCACCAGTCTGCTTGGGCCTGTGCAAATGGCACTTCAAAGGAGTCCCCATGCACTTGGAGTCCATGAGCCAATGGGATATGCAAAGACGCTTACACGTTTCAGGGCTGGTTTCTCTGTTCATATCCAATTCTGGTGCTTAGGAACAGGGACCCATGCTGATGCCCAAGGGCAAAAAGCCCCATGTCCTTTAAGGAAAGGGGCAGGCCTGACCCTGATGCCCAATAAGGGGCAACCCTAGGCTTTTTGTTTTTCTTGCTTTTATTCCTTTTTTTTGTTGGCCTTGTGCTGGGTTTGTTTACAAAAGATGTATTTTGTTTAACCAAATATTAAAAATGGAAAACTCCGTACATGTTATATGTCTGCCTGAATTTGTAATTCTGCAAAGGAAAAAAGTGAACATTAGTGTGGTGATGCTTCAGAAGAAACTCACTACGATCCTCAGCCATCTTTCAGAGCTGTTTTGTGCTCTGGTCCAACCTCTCCCCTCAAAAATCCAGACAAAATATGCACTCCATTTGGTTCAAAATCCTGAGGCACTTTTCAATTTACAAAAACTAGACTTAATCTGAGGAATCCTAATAAGTACAAGTTTTCGTTACCAGCCCTGACAAATGACTAGCGTTTTTCTCTGGTTAACAAGATCAAGATCACATAGCAGAGGGAGCCTGTTAGACTTGAATTCAGATCCATCATTTCCTGTGTGGTCTGGCACAGATTATCCAACCTCTCTGTGACTCCTTCCTCCTCTGTAAAACAGAACTACCACTACACCCTAAATTATATAGCATCATTCTGATAAACAATATACACATAAAAGGCTCAGTATTGTTAATAGCACATTGCTAATAAAAATTTACGTTGAATACAAAAACTGCAAGGTTCAAAGGCAGGGGTATAGTTGGAATTCATAATCAGCTCATCTCAGCAATTATTTTTAAAAGGACCAAAAAAGTTCTATTTGCCACCATTCCCTTCCTAGACCAGAAGTTAGTAGTAGGTCATTCCCTACAAATCCTTTATAACTGTGTATCACTGTAGACCGTACAAATACATGGACCCAATCCTTTGTTGGTGGATCTGAACACGATTGCCTGAATTCAGGACAAAGATTACTATTCTGAGGTTTCTGGGGTACCTGGCTGGCTCAGTCAGAAGACCATGTGACTCTTCATCTCGGGGTTAAGTTCAAACTCCCCCTGGTTGGCTGTAGAGATTACTTAAAAAATAAAATCTTTAACAACAACAACAAAAAAGAGGTTCCTAGCCCAAAATGAATCATGTTTTCCACTGTTGGGCCTCAGGGGTCAAACTGTCACACAGTGGTGTTAGCTTCGGAGAGGAAATGCAAGGGGCAGTCGAAGGACATGATCTCAAGGTGTGTATCACAAGTACATGGATGACACTTTCTGTCGGAATCATTTTTAATATTTAAATACAAAAAGTGAGCACTTTTTTCTTTTTTGGACACACACACACAGGTCTCTAATAGCCAAAACCGGCAGAGAAAATGAGCTCTTCTCTGCCCTCCACAGTCCCCATCCCGTGGTTGAAGCTGCTGCCCAGCCCTCCCTCCTTTCCACCCCAGAAATTCACAGTGGCTGCTTTACACTGCAGCTGTAACGGCATTATGTATTTCATACTGTGTGCATGTCCCTTCCCAACATCTCCATGCTTAAAAACAAAAATGGTCAGGGGTACATCCTTCCCAGTGGCTTCGGTTCCTTTGCCACATTCAGATAGTTGAGATCTTCCGGTCACGAGTGATTTAGTGATTTAGTGAAAGGGGGGGGATGGCCAGAGCTGGAGTAACCGTCTGCATTGCTGCACTCTGGTATCAGAGTGAGGACAGAAGAAATGGGACAGCGTGGAGGGCACAGCTGCAAGTTGGGAGTCTCCGTGACACACTGGGGAGAATTCTCTCCAAGTTTAGATAAATCAATGTGCCAAAGTTTAAAAAAAAAAAAAAGGAAAAGAGAAAAGAATCCAAATCATCAGCAGTTCAACACTATTGAATTTTCAAACTCGTCCCACCAAGACAAGTCATAGAGCAGTAACAAGCTAGAGCTTTCCAGGAAGTGAAGGTAGAGCCCCTGGCATTCCGCCTGAGAGCCCTGTGTTGGGCCCTAGAAGTATCTGGAAAAGAAAAGGAGAGGTGTAAGGCACCGGACGAGCCTCCGGGTCGCATTTTCCCTCTGACGGGGCAGAGGAGGTCTGCAAACACTGCCGATCACGTGGGCACCTAAAAGAGCATGGGCTGGATCCCAGTCTCTACCCACGGGTCTACCCAGGTTTGGGGAAAATCAACACCTTGCACCGCCGCGCAGGCAAAGGCTCTGGGCTCACCTGCCGCTGCTGCAGTTGCTGCTGCTGCTCCATTTGCAACTTCTCCGTTTCGAAGACAACAGGAAGGACCAGGATCATAAAGGAAGTGGTCCCAATCCACAAGGCTGCCCTGGAAAACCTGCAGACAGGGTGTGAGCGTGACAGCAAGACACAAACACAGATGTGTTCTTCTTCACCAAGAACGGCCCAGTAACCAAACCTCTCCCACGCCAATGTTTTTGAAAGGCACGTTCTTTCCCCAACACGTGCACCACACTCGCACCAGAAACAGGACGGGCAGTTCTGCCGGCTGTTTACCTAGCGAGAGCCGTTCTAACATCCTCCTGAGTTCTTACGAAGCTACTTCTACAACACATTAATTACCTCACGTAACGTGAAACGATCCTCACAACGACCCTGCCCCACAGGAATCGCCACTTTACGGAAGAGTTCGTGGAGATCAAGAAAGGTTAAGAGACCAGTCCAAGGTCACTCACTCAGTGATCTAGGTGGCAGGTTGGCCTCCAGCCCCGCTCTGCTACTTCCAAAGCCCATGTTCATTCACAGCACTTCGGTCACCCCAGGCACACCCCAACGTCTTTGCCCTCGGACCTTACCTGTACATTTTTTGAGCCACAAAGACGGAGAGATCAAAAGTGGCTCCAGCCGCGGACCGGACCCTCTCTGGGAACATCTCCGTCAGACCCCACAGTCTCTCCGACAGGGTCTCATCTAGCTGTGGTGGAGGCGGCGGGGATCTCGATCGAAGCAATGGCAACCACCCCCTGGAGCTAGGGCAGCCCGCTCCGGCCCACTGGGGGCCCTAACCCCGCCTCCCGGAGAAGACACCTCCCCTCCGACCTCTCCGGGCTCCGCGACGCGCTTTCGCCCGGATCCCGCAGCACGCGGAGCTCACACCCCCGTGCGGGCCGCTCCCGGCCCGTAACCTTGCACTCCGCCTCACACCACAGGGCCCCAGTACCTCCTCGTCGTCTTCCTCCTCCAGCTCCTCCTC